CAAATATATCAAGAAACAGAACTTGCATGTAAATACAGAAACCCACTTCACAAAACACAATACTCTGAAATATTAGTTGAATACGAAAATGGATTCGACATGACCACTGGAAAAATAAAAGTCGACCCATACGCCACAAGTCATCCCCTAAACGAAGGAACATCATATATACCAGTTAATTTTCAAAAGAATACAGGTCAACCTGGTGGACATTTAAAGCCCCAAGACGATCAAAGCACACGTTTACAAGAACTATCACTAATGAATAGTGCATATTTTGGTAATATCCACTATGATATTCACTTAGATATGAAACTAGACTACACGATTAGCCGAATTTTTCAAGAAATGTCACTCTCCGAATTAGAAACATTACACCAACTATGCGAATTAGAAAGAACACAAATATTACAATCACTTGCACTAGCAGTATTAAAAATACCCTACGCAGGATATTTACTATCAGGAAAAAGATCAAATTTTTTAGACTATGAAGGAAACATCTTATGGTTTTATACTTGTACTAAAAAAGTATCACCACTATACGTTTTTGAAGATAAACGATGCTATAAAAGAATCCCTATCTTTTATAAGAATAAAGTACATTTCGTTGACACACTTTCACGAAGAACCTATTTCTGGGATACCGCAGTTCCATGTGGATCAGAAAATAGCCACAACGTAGTACAATTAAACCCTGATGAAGATAAATATTACCTTCTCACCCCATATCCCACATTAATGCAATCACTCAAAAAATTTTCACCAGAAAGCATTCGCGCTATCGCTCGAAACCCAAATATAGACTTACAATCAATAGGAATATACTCAAAATCAGATATTAAACATCACATTAGAACACAACAATTCCAGGAATTATTAACACAAATGGACACAATACAAAGACAATCAATTGACCAAAACTTACGCAAACTTGCCGAAACCGCAGGATTTGCAGACATCTATACGCAAGACTATAGCGGATATTTTAAAGACATTAAAGATTATATATATCTAAACGGTGAAAAATACCGTCCCCAAGATATATCATCTATCAATATTTTTAGCTTTGTTACACTCAAGAATGAAATTCTTGATTTTCTAGGATGGCCCTACTACATCTTAGAAAAACTGACTATTTTATACGCAATGTTTAACTTTATTGGATTTCTTTTTTCACTCTTAAAAGGAATCTATAACACATGTGCTATACACACACAAGTCAATAGACAAGCAAGTGTAGCACGCATACTATTTGCAGGATTTTTTGGAATATTTTCTACATCTATAAACAAAATTCTTTTAGACGCACAAATAAAAGAATATAACACAAAAATAGCAACAAGACAGAACACATACGACGAAGAACATAACAATACAGACACAACACCAACAGCACCACAGTTACCACCCCTACCACATAACCATCCATTATCCCTAGTCCCACGTAATTTTCGAAATTTAGCCATAACACATAATAATTTTAGACCAACCATATCACAAAGTCCCATCCAACATATAATGCCACACCACTCACAAGATGAAAATACTTATGAACAAATTATAGAACAACCCCATACCACCGCTTTTCAGTCTCAAAATAATAATTTTTTTAGCCCACGATGAGCCGACAACTTGGATCCCTACACCGATCAAATTCCCACCCAACCAACCTCACTCTTCCGACACTAATTCACACATCTCAGTTTTATACTCCATCTCACAACTCAATAACCCGAATATTGAAACCCCCGATGAATTTGCCGACTCTGAACCATCTCCATCAAATAATTTTCACACCAATTCCTCAAATTTTTCCCAACCCCCTTTTCAACCCATACTACCAAATAACCCTGACCCAACCAATTCTACACCCTCTTATGCTTCCCAATCCACTCCAACCTACTCCTCACTTCACTCAGACCAATCATCTCATTCTTCAGACACCCCCCGAATCTCCCCAGAACTAGATAATTTCATTACCCTACAACAACAACCCTATCACCTTGACACCCCAACCATAAACCAAATCTCATCCACAATAGATTCATCCAACCCCCCTACCCCTACACCCTCTTCAATTTATACTGAATCATTAGCACCATCATCCACAACTACTGAATCTTCACTCAACACTAATAGAGCTTACCGCACTTTTAAAAGGAAGTTCCCCAACCATCCTTTCCCAGCGAAACCAGGAACAGCCCGTGAATATATCAACCATCCACAACACACTAACACAAAAGAATTTTTAGCTATCACCTTACCCTCATTTCCACAATACACCTTAAACACCCCTCATGACACTAACGAGACACGTAACTTTGTAGACGAATACGTTTTAATGCCTACCCTTCCTTGGACCTCATATTATCATTTTACAAATCCCCTTTGCTTACCTTTATCTAACACTCATATCGATATAGAACGAAATAAGGACATGCTATATCGACTCACTACACCACTAACACCTAGACAATTTACTTACATTGGATATGAAAAATCACTAAAAACACACACTGCACCCCGAGCTAATGAATATACACTAGAATATTACGATCATAACATCATCAGAACTAACCAAGATCAATTCTTAGACGACGATCGCTTCGCTAACCCACAAATCACCGAGAAATTTTTCATTAAAACACCATATGTATTTACACTAAATATCTTTGATCGCAAGTTTGACCACATTATTTCAGAAGCACTAACAGACACGCAAGCCTACGAAAGTTTTAAAGAACGCTTCCAAATATTTTCACTAACCTTTCATTTCCTTGCACCACATGAAAGAGATTTGCACTGCTCACACGATATTATGTTGCGCAATAAACAAACACACACATATACTTATTATCGTTTCATCCAAAATCACTTTGACCTACACACTCCCTCCAGACAACCACACCATCGTTTTCAATTCATCAATTCCAAATACACCTCACCATTCTTTCTTAACTTCACATATTGCATTAAAGATACTAACCTTCATGGTATTCTTCGAAATTATGATCCCATAACCCAAATGTATATCTTTTGTCCCATCACCAAGACCTTCAACACAGAAGAATCCCGACCCTTCCTCATCCCACACGAGTTTGTACAACCTATAGAAATCCCCATTTTAGAATTCATCCATAACACTAAATTCAACCACAAATTATATAATCTAATCAAAAACACACCTTATGAATTTGCAGTTGGCACTGAAGAACTAACCACCATTAAGGCACTTCAATTGCTTTGGCCACTGCTTCAAACTAAAAATATCATCAGCATCTTAGCCAAATTACTAACAACTTCAGATCTCATCCACGACATTTTCCCCCACGGTTTCTTCCCCGACGACTAACAGGTAAGTATGAATTATACATATTACTAACTAATTTAAATATTAGAAACTCACCATTCTTTATCCATGTTTTCTTTAGAATTTTAGCCTTCATCCTAGATCATCTGAAAAATTCACAAAAGAAAAATAAAAACTTCTTCAAAACTGTTTAAAACCCTATTAAATTTTTGCACCAACAATTAAATAAATATAATACCAATGCAGTAAATTAATTTATAAATTTTTCCCCCACAAGCAGTAAATCTAATAATGATGAAAATTTGTAACTTAATTTTCCTCAACAACTAGCAGTAAAGATAAAATTCTATGTAGTAAATTAATAAGAAGCAAATACAGTACTAACCTTTTGCTATTTTCATTCACTCGCACAAGAATTCTATCCAAACTCGCACAGCTCGCCCACGAAGAATTGTTTAAAATAATGAATTTCAGTTTCAAGCTTTCACACTCGATAACTCTAACACAAGATAACACGTTTCAAACTTTCCTTTAACCCGGTTGGAAAGGAATTATATACTAAACAAAACTAACCAATGCAGCTTACTAAACACCACAACACATAGCATAACAGCATGACTAAGAAAAGGAAACCAACGGTACCCAAACCGGATTAACCCAGTTTAAAACTGGATAATTTATTCTTTTGAAGACTATTATAAAGTCTAAGAAAGAAATAATAAAACACAAAAAAGTCGAAAGACAAACCCATACCACAAACAATTTGATTTTTGAAAAAAGGACACAACCAACAAAACATAAGAAAAACCACAACAAACCCAACATAAAACGTTGTCACATAACAGGACCTCTCACAAAAACCGCATGCAATCATACTCCCACTCCTGGCCTAACCCACCAGGAAGGACGTCCTGAGCATGCTCTATAGCCGGCCTAACCCACCGTGCTACATCCACGCTTTGTGACCACACTCCTATTTTTAATAAGAGCTACTCAAGGGTGAGTAACTCTTCAAAATAACTGAACTAAAACAAAAAGCTTTTGTGAAAACAACTAACTAAAATCATAATTAAAAAATATTAAACTAATAAAAGTTTTATAAAATGTAAATTACATTATGCAATACATAGATCAGAATACAACACCAAGGACGAACATCCAAAGACAAAACGACCCTACTACACTCGAGAAAGAATGGCCAACTACAATCAATATGCCACTCACAATCACAACTCAAAGGATTTAGAGTACGACTTGACTTCGCAGAAAAGGACTTCATTGAACTAGACCAATGACCACCTCGATGTTCAAGTATACGTACAGATCCGAGTAACCAGGCATCCCCTCCACGCACAATCTCCACGCCATCCCCAGACAAGGTCAAACACAAAGAAGTTCTCACCAATGAAACAGAAAAACCTGACATAGCCAACCATTCTGAAATCAGATTTGAGTTTGTTGCGAAAACCCAGTCGTTGTCTTGAGAAGACACAATGATTGAATCCGCTGAAAAACCGCTCAAACCGCTCAGAGCGGGATCTCGACGCTCAGAGCGGTTTTTGAGCGGGATCTCGACCCGGGCTCTAAAAGTGCAACTATGATCCGTTATAATGGAACTAATTTTGGATATGTAATCCCCTATAATCAATCATTTCTCATGAAACTCCAGTGCGGGTAGTTACATTACCTTGGTTGCGACCCATTGAGTGACTGCATCTGAAACAAAAAACTGAGATAAACGGCCGATCTAGAGTTTCTAGAAGACCATCAGTTAAAAATGAAATGTTAGCAATTTTGTTGACTTTTTAAGGCCAACCAAATTGATTTCCTGAACACTATTGATACACTAAATATTGATTTGAAGGCTAGAAAAATAGACTCTAGACGCAAAATGAATAATTGGAATTAAAGGGGATTGGGCACGTTTTGCGGAAAACATTCTCAAAGCCCTTTAATTCCAATTATTCATTATGCGACATATGTTCGCCAAAAAATTAATTTATGGGTCAAGTTATCCAAAAAGAATACCAAGGAGTAACCTTCAAGAATCATCATATGTTGAGACTTTCTTACCCTCCTCCTAAGCACGGTACTCTCAGTAAACAAATTGATCATCAGCGCTCCTAAATATTATACGAGGAGTTGATCGATTAATTGGTCACTGGAACCTGATCTAAACTACATTTTATAATTGGATAAATTGGATATTTTACCACTGTAAAAAATTTAATTTTAACCAATCATAATCCATCTAACTAACAACCCACTTATTTGTAAGTGCTGAAATTACTTGTATTTTCAGCACCAGAGAGATTTGATTTTAACTTAGAAATTAGTTGCCTCTCCGAGAGAACTTCAGCAGTTGCAATAAGCCAGTATACTATAGATCTATTGAGCCTAGCAGAGACTAGTTAAACACCCTGAGACTAGTAGATATAAGAGTAAGATTAGGATCGGTATTAGACTAAGAAGTTGCACGAATCTATCCGGCCGAAAATAAGATAGCGTGACGAGCAGACGGTGTACCCTATCCGAAATTACTCTATGAGTTAACCACATCGGTCCTAACTCATCTGGTGCGACCATAAGTCTCGAATAAGACCTTAATAGCTTAGAATTAACCAAAAATAGATTAGAATTTAGACAAAACATTTTCAAAATGTTACACGATAATAATTTAATTGAAATGTCTCTACGACTCAATAGATCAGAGCCGATATTCCGAACAATACTAGAACTACCCGGTATTGGAAGAAGACCTCGAACAAGACACGATATACGACTACGTAGAAACTTACCATTTAGTTTTATGGTTGTAAGGCAAAAGCCAACACAAACTTTTATATTTAGAATCTTATTAGCAATGAATTTAGATTTTCATTTGCAAACATAAAAATTTGAAGTAAATCTTCATGATCATTTCAGGCGCTAAACAAAATTTTTAATGTACAATAACGATTGATAAAAAGATCTCAGATCGTTTTCTTAATTTCTGCAGTATTATATAAAACATATTTGAAAAATATTTATTGAAAATAAAAGTAAAAAATTAGTAGCATGACAATAAATTGTTAGTACACATAAATCATCCTGTTGTTCCAGCTCCATCACCTAAACATAACAGCAATCATAAGCTCACTAATATCATTGAAAAACTAAATCCTTTTATTACATAAATTTAAACCATTTTAAACTTAAAAATTTACTTAACTTAAAAATCAGATCATCAAGGCTTATCCTTGGATCTTTATAAATTTTCTATCTCATTAAATTAAAAACCTGATCATCAAGGCCTATTCTTGGATCAAAACGAACAATTTTGTTCTCCCCCACCCACTTAGCAAGTGTCTAACGACCTCAAACGTCGATTCACTATCCAACCTTTTCAAAAGACCCAGGACTAATAGAAAAATTTCAATAAAACTAACCATTCAAATTAAGATAATCAGTGAAGAACTTCGGTTATTCATCCTTCTCTTGAACCCTCCTCTTACCAGGCCCAGGTTAGATCTTAGACTTAGTAAGTTTAAAATAGTATCTAACGAACTGCTTGCGTTCTAATTATACCTGAACCTTGTGGATCAATTTACTATTCTCCAACCCTTGAACACAATCACTACCCCTAAATAAGATTAAGTAAGTTAACACCTTAACTAAGGCTAGCCACGAGAAAGTAGAACATCAATCTCCGGAATCGATATACTTTTCTCTCCAACCCTGAACAAAAAGACCCAGCTTAAGCTAACCAAAAAATCGTAAGGACTAACAGTCTAAGGAAATAGAAATAATTAACAACTTCTTGCATCCCTCATCCTAAACCTTATGTCATTCAAAAATTTAGCAAATAAACAAACAATCGTTTTACACAACTGCGAGATAGATAACCAAAAATACGACCTTGTAATCACACCTCATACACAAACAGTTGGATACATTAGAACAAAACGACTAACAATAAAAAGAAAAATAATAAACAAACAAAGACAAATCACACGAAAAAGATTTTCAAAAAATAGAAACGCATTTTCAGAATCAGAAGCCAGCAATTTAGATAAACTATACAAATTAAAAGAATCAATTGATAAAAATTGTCCCATTCACGATCAATTACATTTTTCCGATTCAGAAACAACTTCAAATTCATCAAAAAGAGGAAAAAGAAGAATAAAAAAGAAATACAAACACAAACCAGTACACTTGTATAATTGGAATCAACCAATTGGACACATCGATAGTTTTATATTAACAGTCATCAAACGAAAAAATGAGCCACACTGAATGTGACGAAAATCCAGATGACGAAGCAGTTTTTCCCTTTCTTATAGATTCACTCGATGATAGAGGACAACACAATTTTTGCAAGAACTTACTCGTAAATTTTTTTGAACCAGGAATCAGCCCATGCAAAGCAGAATTCCCAGATGTAAGAATCAAAAGACAAATTATTGAACATTATTTGAAAGACATATGTAAACTAACACAACAATATGGAATCTACACCATAGAATTCAGCACACCAAATACAGCCCATCGTAAATATGCAATTCAAACAGACGATATTGAATTAGAATTTTCAAAAGTCTTCATAGAATATATCAAAAGCATACAATATCATAATTCACAAAGAGCAAACTCCATATTCACTAACGAAGTTTTTGCAATAATATACAGTTATATATCTATATTAGAAAAAACAGAAGTTCAAAGTATATCACCAACTGAAACATCCAAACATACAAAAGTACGAAATGAAATTACAGTATTTTCAACATTTCTACATATAATTCGCGAAAACTTCACTAAAGAAGATGTTTCACAAAACACTAAACATGATTTACAAAAGATTTTAGCATGGTTTATAATAAATTATTTCACCCACAATTTAGATTTAATTTCACAAGCAAGAAAAAATTGTAGACCTCAAAATACCAATGACGACACTGTTCTTTCAGAACAATCAGATTACGTTTGGGACCCTGACTGGTTTCATCATGCATTTCTAAATATCCCACAAGCTATCTCAAGTCAAGCAATAAGTACAATATCTTTTCACAAAGATTATGTAAAAGTAGTACCATTAACCATTGATGCAACACCATTGAATTATAATACATTTTTACCTGATACACGAAAAAACAGTTTAAATTCGACGGTCATACATAATGAAAACCTCAATGGAACCAGAAATCTTACACAACAAGATATTCAAACACCATCACACTTCATAAACGAAGAAATTGTCCAAACAACAGCAACAACTACACAACAGAGTATTTCACCAATACATCCCAATCTAACAACACCACGAAATACAAATACATCACTAACACAGGTAACCTTACAATCAACCGTAAAACCTTCGGTTGCTCCAAAATGTTCCCATATGGACTATCAAACGTATAGACCAATGACAATACCGTCAAAAACACGAAAACCGTTCACAAGAAACACTTTTGCAGAACACCATTATAAATATGCTCACAAACCAAGAACAAACCAACCTCCCCGAAAAAAAACACAAAATTTAAACCACGTATGTTCCCATTATTGGAATCTCCCAATAACATCGACCAATTCAGTAAATTTTCAAGATAATCCACAACCTACACAGGATTATAGTGAAAATTACCCATTCTTTCAACAAAATAAAAATAAACAACATACACCTTATAATACAAACTATTTATCATCTGATGAAGATGATTATCACCAACCAGATATTTTTGCACCATATACTAAAGAATATCGCACCCAGAGACCGCGACAATCTCAACCATCTCAAAATATGAAAATTTACCCACAAAACCCAACAGATATACAAAACCCACAACAAATGCATACACAAAACCCATTTAACACACAATCCTTTCAACCAATACAACCACAAAATCCAATGTTAATGCATTCTTATCAACCAACACAAATGCAAAATGAAATACCGCTTCCCTATTACCTTCAGCAACATGAAATCACAAAGAATCAACTTTCAATTTTTTCACAAATGCCAAATGCCGCAGAATCACTACAGATGACTATGAATCCATGCCTCATGGGTGTATCATCAATAACATCGAATAAACCATTAATGGTATTCACAGGAACAGACCCTGAATATTCTGTAGAAGATTATCTAAATGCAGTAACAGCAAATTTAATTTTAAATATAGGACCCGAACCAATTAATACGCCACTACATCAAAATTGGATACATAGACGCACAGCATTATTACAAACAACCCTAGATGGCGCAGCTCAAAAATGGTTTTCAGTATTACCCATAGAAATAAAATCAGACTGGAAAAGATTCACACAAAAATTTTCAAAAAATGTTTGACTCTGAAAGAAACAAACAACATCAAAGAGTTTTATGCAATGAAATCAGCAGATTTCCAAATGAAACAATTAAACAATTAGCAGTACGAATCGAAACATTAGTTCGAAAAGCATATTCGCTTAATACACATGACTATAAAAACACAAAAATGACAGAAATTTTAATGATGACCTTAACACCTCAATTAAGGAAAGTAGCGATAAAAAAGAGAGCATCTCATCCTTCCTCAATTCGAAAACCAGACTTAGATTTTCAAAAATTAGTAGATAAACTAGAACAAGCAGAAATCACAATGAAACTCGAAGAAACAGAAAATCCAAAACTACAATATGTTAATCGAATTGAAACAAATACTACACATATAAACATACAAGAATCAGACACAGACCTGATTGAAAAAATCACTGAAATACTAAATATCTACGAAAAACATCCAAACTTTAAAGGCAAACCATCCTTCAAAAAATGGTGTAATTATTGCCGACGATACGGACACAGTATTTCCGAATGTAGACAAAAACAACAAGACAATCAGAATAAACCTCAAAAGCACAAAGAACCAAATAAATCTTTCTATCAATACATGAAAAAAAGACCAAAATCTACCAAATAAAAACATATATAGTAATAACAGTTCAGGAAAACCACTTCCGAACAACCCAAATTACACAAGGAATCAATCACCATATAACTCAAGTTATAGAGGTAGATCACCCGAACGAGGAAATACAAGAAATTTCTCACAAAATAGATATAATCGATCAAATAGCCAAAATAACCAAAATAACTATTCACGATCAAATTCCAATACAACACAATTTGTTTCTGGATTCAGTTCCCAATCAAACCCAAGGAATAGACACTATTCCAATAATCAATCACGAAACTCATCATACAACAGAAATAGAAACTACTCACATAATAGAAATAGAAGTTGTTCAAACAATCGAAATCAGAATTACCCCAACAATCGATCAAGAAATATTTCATATAATAGATCAAACTATCACAGATCAAACGATAATTATCAAAACAAATCACAAAATAATTCACAAAATCGAAATTCAAGTTACAATAATCGATACAAAAATTATTCCCAGTCACCACACAGGAATAATAACCGTTACCCTGATTCTAAACATCGATACAGAATTAGCACACCAAAACATCAAGGACACATTAATCAAGTGCAGACAAATGAAGAAACAACTTCAGACCCCCCAGGTATTGATGACACAGGAAGTAAGGAAATACAACTAAATCATACAAATTGTGAATTGTCGGATACAGAAAGTGATACAGAAAATACCATCTCTGTAAATATGATAACAGTCGAAAACGACTATGAACCTATCATATATGAACAACCTTTTACCTCACATATATATGAAAATCAATTGGAACTCCTTCATAATTACTATATTGGACCCAGTGATACTACACAAACTACACAAGAAGTAAGCGGAAATAACACGGTGATTAAAACCGATAAAAAAGACGAAACACAATGCTCAAACACAAAACATATTTATCAAAATATACAAAAAAAAACAACCCAGAGAAACAATTTGGACAATTCCATTTCTCTTAGAAAGCCCAAGAAACAAAGAATTTCAACCACCAGATCTTGAAATTGATTTTTTAATTGATTCAGGAGCAGAATCAAATATAATCAATATTCCCACATGGAATGAAATCAAAACATTACATCCAAAATTAACACCTCTTGAAACCTCTAGTAAATTAGCAACAGCACAAGGATCAACATTAGTAAATTATGGAAAAATCCAATTGTTTCTTCTCCCCACGAGAACAATGGAACAAAACGAAATTTTAAACAAACCGTTTAAACAAACATTTTCATTCACTCGCACAAGAATTCTATCCAAACTCGCACAACTCGCCCACCAAGAATTGTTTAAATAATGATTTTAATTTTCAAGTTTTCACGCTCAACAACTCTAACACACGATAACAACTTTCCTTTAACCCGGTTGGTAAGGAATTATATACTAAACCAAACTAACCAACGCAGCTTACTAAACACCACATATCATAAAATAACAGCATGACTAAGAAAAGAAAACCAACGGTACCCGAACCGGATTAACCCAGTTTAAAACTGGATAATTTATTCTTTTGAAGACTATTATAAAGTCTAAGAAAGAAATAATAAAACACAAAAAAGTCGCAAGACAAACCCATACCAAAAACAATTTGATTTTTGAAAAAAGGACACAACCAAAGTAACATAAGAAAGATCAACATAAACCCAACATAAAACGTTATCACATAACAGGACCTCTCAAAGAAACAGCATGAAATCATACTCCCACTCCTGGCGTAACCCACCAGAGAGGACGTCCTGAGCATGCTCTATAGCCGGCCTAACCCACCGCGCTACATCCACGCTTTGTGACCACACTTCTATTTTTAAAAGGAGGTACTCAAGGGTGAGTAACTCTTCAAAATAACCAAACTAAAACAAAACGCTTTTGTGAAAACGACTAACTAAAATCATGATTAAAAAATTGAATTACCAAAATTTTATAAAATGTAAATCATACTTTGCAGTATATAGATCAATACACAACAACAAAGACGAACATCCAAAGACTAGATGATCCCATCACACTCGAACAAAAGAATGGCTAAGCACAACCGACATGCCGTCCACAATCACAACTCAAAGGATTTAGAGTACGACTTGACTTCGCAGAAAAGAACTTCATTGAACTAGACCAATGACCACCTCGATGTTCAAGTATACGTACAGATCCGAGTTACAAGGCATCCCTTCGACACACGATCTTCACGCCATTCCCAGACGAGGTTGCACACAAAACAAGTTCTCTACATAATACAGAAAAACCCGTCATAGCAAACCATTTTGAAATCGGATTGATTTCATTGGGGATCACAATCATTGTCAAAAGACGACGTAATAATTTCCTGTCCATTATTCCAGCGTCCTGGAACTTCCTTATCCAAGAGGAACCGGACAAGAGAATGATGTTCACCAAATACCAACGTTCATCATCCATCCTTCAAATTGCAGAAAGATAATTCTAAAAAACTCTGTAAAACCCGGATGGGTGGAACCTGATCCAAACTACATTTTATGATTGGATAAATTAGATATTTTACCACTGTAAAGTATTTAATATTAACCAATCATGATCCATCTAACTAACAACCCACTTATTTGTAAGTGCTGAAATTACTTGTAATCTCAGCACCAGAGAGATTTGAATTTAACTTAGAAATTAGTTGCCTCTCCAAGAGAACTTCAGCCGCCGCAACAAACCAGTATACTCTAGATCTATTGAGCCTAGCAGAGACTAGTTAAACACCCTGAGACTAGTAGATTTAAGAGTAAGATTAGGATCGGTATTAGACTAAGAAGTTGCACGAATCTATCCGGCCGAAAATAAGATAGCGTGACGAGCAGACGGTGTACCCTATCCGAAATTACTCTATGAGTTAACCACATCGGTCCTAACTCATCACAGATGCAACTTACCATTTTTTTAACCAAGAGCTGATTGATTAATGAGTCATAGATGCAACTTACCATTTTGTGTGTCCTTGGGGTAAAACCATGAGTCATACTGGACATACTTGAATGGCAGTCCCACTTCATCCGCATGATCAATTACGTGATAAATTGTCTGTTCATACGTCTCATTCACCTCAGGTGAGTAGTAGTAATAAGCTCCGTTGTCAGTGTAGTATCCCAGATAGTTCACGCTCAGGTCAGTTTGCATTGCGCTGTTGGTTTTGCCGTAGTATGTTGTCATTATTTCACCCCATTTCTGAAAGGCTTTCCTAGGGGATAACAAGCCGTGGATATCCACCTAAAAGCATAAGTTCATAAGACCTCATTAATTGTAAGACATAATTCAATTCGTTCCTCGCACAATCTCGCCTCAAACATCTCACACAAATAGTCTCGCAATGAATGTAGGTCAAAATTGCGAAGAGCGAATTGTGCCATATTCGAACTTTAGGCCCTGATGACCAGCAAAACAAACAAGCTCAAGAAATCAAATGCCGGTATAAATTAAACAATTTTCATTTTTAGGCCCTGATGTACGCCTCATATACGCTCGACTGCAATTGGCTCTTTTTCTGATTACTAGAAACTCTGACATCCTCATTAGATAGGCGATTCGAAACTCGTTTGGTCTTCATACTCAACCTTATGAAACCTCTCGTTACACAATAAAATCGATGCTTATGGAGAAAAAGAAAGGAGACCAGCTTTGGTGAGAAGAAAGAAAAAAGCTAGCAAGTCAGTTCTAAAATGAAACAAGGATAGCCGGTTGCTGTGCGAGTAGCACAAAACTTTCGTACCATATTCTTCAAAAAACACCACAAAAAAGTTTTCTTTTCTTCAAACTAGTGTCGTTTTTATGTGAGTGGTGTGATAAAAGGATTGAACGAAAGCCTAAGTTTTAGACATTTTCCACAATCATAGTAGAAAAAGGCAACTTGTACAGCAGTTTTTGTCAAAAATGACTAGAAAAAATCAGTAAATAGTTAAATACATTTTTTAAAGTTCAGTTACTTTTGCATTTTTTTTTGAAGTTTTTGTTCCTACGATGGTGCAAAAAAATATATTTGAGTTGGTTTTACTGGAGTAAAGCTAAAATTTCGGAATAAAAGTGCTTCAATAAAATTTTCACGGCTTAAGCTTTCAAAATAGGTTGCTCGCTCGCTGTACTCGCCCGAAGTTAAAAATTTAAATCAACTTGAAAATTTAAATCAGTTTTTCTCGAAACTGGTTCTGTTTTTGTTATGTCGCTCGATATACAGATGAAAGTGCTTTAAATTTATATATCACTCGACCCAATCCGAAGATAAATTGTGGCACCTGATTTTCCGTGGAAAACAAAAAAACTAAACAAAGTTCGTCCTCATTTTAAAAGGTCGCAACAAAGATAGCGACATGTACTTTTGAATATTTCTTAGAAGGATTTGCTTAATAAATATAATCACAAGGAGATTTTCAATCATTCACTATAATTGGCAGCGTTGTAAGAATGATAGGATCTCTTTTACTATTTCTCTCTTTTTGCAAACAGGGGAGAAACTTGTTACAAGGTATAAAATTCTTATATACTTAATCGTTGAATCATTTCTTTATAGTAGGATATTTTTTAGTATAGGTACCCGAGGAGGGATGCAGTTAAAGAGATCCGAATCATGTAAAAAAAAAACAAAGTGTAACCTGAATGAATGGGATTTTAATGAATGAGACCTGAATGAATGAGACCTGAATGAATGATACATGAATCAATGAGATCTGAGTGAATGAGACCTGAATGAATAAGACCTGAATGAATCAGACCTGAATGAAATTGTAACCTGAATGAATGACACTGAATAGTGTTCAGGCACTTCTGAGATATTGCCCATGATGCCATAGCAGAGCTCACTGGACTCGCTAGTGCCGTTGTCTGTTCTACTCGCATGCCAGGCCATGTGGGTGGCCAAGAACTCCTCAAAGCGAGAGTAGATTGTAGTCACATTAGCCACACCATCCAAAATCATAAGAGGGCCAGACTTCAATCCAGTTCTAGCAAAATTACTATCCGATTAAAAAGGCACACATTAAGTAGTAGGCATAACTTTATTATAGCTGGTAAATGAATGTGTTTGCTATATGATTTGATGCTCAAATCAAAAAAAGTTTACATAAGTTTTTCCCCGACTGCTGTACAGAATTTTCTTTGACAGTGATTAAATAATTTGAAAAAAGTCACCTTCAAAAAACATTGAAACGTTTACAAAATTGTTGAATCGTTTCTTTGTCTTCTGGCGTTTTTTTTAGAATTAAATGAATGGCTAAATATTTACTTTTACCGAAGAATACAGTACAGACTGCTAAATTAATAATAAAATCAGGTCTCGCACCAGGGGCGGATTTAGGGGAAGGGCGGGGGGGTGGTTTGCCGACGCCCCCCTCCCTCAAGGATTCGACCCCCTGCCGACCCAAAGGGTCCCCCTTTGTACTATTTTGAGATATCCAAATTTGGTGACGGACCCTAAAAATTTTTTAAAGGCGCCAGTATATACTTACTTTGAGGGGGGAGCGCGCGCCAAAAAAACGCATTTTTTTTGGTCAAATGTTCTAAAAAGTGCCTAAAAACGCCTTTTTTGGCCTGTTTCTCAAAATTTTGCCTGCGGCGCCAGAAAATTTGACCAAAACAGGGTCTTTTTAGTGCTCTGGGAGAGCTCAGAAAATCATTTCGGTCGACCTAGAAAAAAAAAGTCGACAAAATGATCAAAAATATTTTTGAAATCCGCCCCCCCCCCACTCGAGAAAATTGTAGATCCGCTCCTGTCTCGCACTACCCTTCCCTCTACATAGCGGTGTGTTCTCAAAAACGGAAACCTTCAGACCTGTTTTTCGCGGCGCAGAAGTTTTTGGTCAAAGTTTCTTTTGAAAACCAAATGACGACTGAAAGGTCATCAATTGTAATATATCACTGGAACCATTTGAGTTTATTTTCATTAATTTTTAAAACAATCACAGAAACTAATTTGAAAGAAATGTTTTCTCCAAACGCTTGAAGAACTGTTTTTCACATATGTCTTTTTCTTCTCTCGTTTTTATGTTCAAAAATTGTTGAAAGATGAATAAAAAGATAAAAGTTGAATAAAAAAATAAATTGAAGGAATATTCACGAAATTTTCATGGTGTCTTCATTCCATTTTCCGAACTGCTGGTTCATCCATCCAAACATGTAATCTCCCAGAGACCAGAAGCCCAATTTGGATTCACTCTCTTTCTTAAAGCAGGGCCAGCCAGTGATCAGACCATCCCTTAAAGCAGTTATAAGGATAATTATAATCATAAAAACCATAATTGCCCGGGTCGATAAAAAATGCTTATCATACAATTTTCATATATGGAAATTATGCTTATCAAACTATTTCATATAATTTCATAGACCAAAAGTAAATATAAGAAAAATTGCAAAAAAAAGCATTTTTTCCATACTGCGAAATTTTATAACAAGCATTTTTTCCATACTCTGGAATTGAATTTTAAGCTTTTTATCAGTCTTTTGATCCCCAAAGTTGTATGAAAACAGCATGATATCATTTTTTCCAAACTATGAAATTTTATAATAAGCATTTTTTTTTTCATTCAAAAATCAAAATCATTTTGTTGATGGCCGGAAAACTTTAAAAGCATCGAATACAGCATACATCTGTACTAAAACTCTTTAAAACCATTTTGAAATTTTTAATGAAAATTGTATGATAAGCATTTTTTCCATAGACGCCATATATGAAATTGTATGATAAGCATTGTTCTTCTATGAACGTCAAGCCGGGTGTTGTTACAGTGATTCGCAGATGATATATCAAAGCCTATCCAGCTTGTCTAATGATAGTCGTTTCTCTTATATTCCCACATTCCCCACTAATTTTATTTTGCTAAGCGAAGCTTTTCTCGCAACTCAAGACCGTTGTCTACGTAAAACTTTCACGTGGCACCGCTTTTGCAGTCGAAATTGGTCAGGTTGTTGTCTTCAAATTTGAGGTCAAGTAGTATTTCGCTTTGACACACCATCCTTTTTGCCTTGGCTGAAAAGACCACTCAATCTGGAGTTTTCAAAATTATCGCTTTACCATTAATCTAACTACTTCTAGATTGCTGGCAACTGTGCAGTGTAAACAATAAGGAATGATGCAACCGCACAATTAAAAAATTTTATTGGAATTAAAAAGTGAGTTTTGTTTGGACATCAAAAAACAACATCCATCAATTGTTCCACATTTTTTACCCTCAAAACAGACAATGGATGACAAACAGTGATATCTGATACTTTGAAATGCATGTAGCTGGAATCAAAGCAAGAGTGCTCATATCAGGGCAAAGACCTGAATGTTCTGATTGCAAATTGATCAGTCTAGAATAGTTTTTACTTATGGAAATATTTACAAACTATGATAATCAGTGAGATTTATCAGCATATCTCTTTTCAATTTGGAACAATTTTCAACATCAAAATAAAAAACGAGCAGTTTGATAGACTCGTGTGAAGTTTATGGATGGTGTGTGCGCCCAGCGGTGCCCTCGTAGATCAAGGGAGGGAGCCCTAGAGTGAGAATGCTTTTCAGCGAAACTTTTTGTTTTTGTAAATGTCGCAAATTAGCCAAATTACTTAATGTCAAATCCACATAACATTACAAATATTAATCACAAGCAGGCGCGGACCAAAGAACTTCTCGAGGGGGGGGGGGCGGATTTTCAAAAAAAAGTTTGTCGACATATTCTTTTTTTTAGGTCGACTATATTGGTTTTCTGAGCTCTCCTCCTTAACCATTGTAAAGATCGTAATTTGACCAAAAATTCTGCGCCGCAGGCACATATTTGAAAAAAGGCCAAAAAAAGCATTTTTAGGAAATTTTTGGAAAATTTCGAAGGTCAAAACGCGTTTTTCAGCGCAAGCTTCCCCCTCAAAACTAGTATAGATTGGTGCCGAAGGCGCCTTTAAAATCATTTTAAGGTCAGCCAGGCAAAAATGGATATCTCAAATTAGTACAAAGAGGGGACCTGACCTTAAATCCGCTACTGATCACAAGATAAATATCAATTTAAATTTGAGGTCAGAATAGCAATAGTTTTTAGATTGTATTAAACAACTTTGCCAAAAACGGGTAGTTAAAAAGTCGAAAACAGCTTGGAGAAGAAAAATCATCCCGAGCTCATCATTTTAAGTTATTTTCTTCTAAAGATGGAATTTTTCGCAATTCTTCTTTAAATGTATGAATAATGAGTATAGTTTTTCTTCAGAATAGTTTTGGTGGTCGAACGAATATTTTCGATGGAAATTAGCCATATTAAAAACCACATTAAAAATCAGCGACAACTTAGGAGTACCCAAGAAAAACATTTGGTTATGCTGCGAGGGATTGATGCAAAAATTAAAATCGATAAAAAATTGGACTAACCTATCTGTGACTGACGCGTTAGTTCGAAATGCTTCGACCATAAATACTTTTTTTCCCAGTTTTTCATAAAAACGAGGGAAGACAAAGACATATGTGAAAAAAAAAATTTCTAACGGAGTACACATGAAAAAGAATTGGTTATGCTGAGAAGGTTTGATGAAAAATTTTTGATGAAAAGATGAAACGTCAAAAACTTTTTCAACTAACCTAAGTGTGATTGACGCGTAAGTTCAAAACGCTAGAGCGCTACTAAATCAACCAAACTTAATTTTGTTTGGACATGATTTGAGTTGATACATTGGTCTTATTGGACTCACACTATCTAACTAGAAACTAGATGCACTGACAAAAAGGGATTAGGATCGATTTTAGTATGAAAAAAGTAAGTAGATTCAATTAAGATCAATTTTGGCCTGAAAAAAAACACGAAGAAAAAATAAAAACTAATAGTGTTGATTTGAATCAAATTGAAACCGGTTTAAGTTAATAATATATACCAACTAAAAAATCGATTCAAACAGAATCCGTTTTTTAAAAATCCAAATCGAAACCATCATTTAAATCCATTTTTTAGCCCTATGTTTAGTCCATTAATAATAATCCTTGTAAACATAATAACAACCAGAACAATTATTATAATAATCACAATAGTTAGAAAAATACTCAAAGATTTGAGGGAAAAGGCCCATGGGAAAAGACTTCCCTTCAAAATTTAAATCAAATCAAACATTTAGTTTTCTAATGTTTAAACAGTTTGTGCAATTGCTTTTAATGTTCCAGGAGCACGAATTTCCTTACAGGATTGTTTCTTTGAAAATATCCGGTATAAACTCGTAAAGATAACTTAGATGTTTTTGCAGTCAATGATATCATATTTCAAATAGTCGTTAAAGATATTAGTCAGAATGCACGCACGTTGAAAAAAATCCGAATCAGATTTTTGAAGACTGATTTTTGTGATTTTTGTGCAGTAGAATCTTAAGTTGAATCATTCAGTTTTTGTCCAAGAAATGCGCTGTAAAGAAGGTTGTTGCTTTTCTGCGGCTACTTTTCTAAATTTTAAGAACGTTTTTTGATGGTTCCCAAAAAAATCAGCCATAGTTTACAATTGTGGCTATTAATGTTTTGTATTTTTATAGTTATATACCTTTTTTTGTAATTTTCGAGATAATTCTTTCAAAAGAGTAAAACGTGCGTAGAATTTTGACTGATTTTGGTTTCGTATTTTTTGCCACTTCGAAATCTTAGTGACTATAAGTTCGAAGTCTTTCATTTAGTGTAATTGCTCAATTATTGAAATTTTTACTTCCACAATTGAACTAGCTGTGATGCCAAGTGTTCTAGTTTTACAAATTCTTTATTTCATAGAGTTTTTAGCTTGATTAAATTGAGAAGTCGGGTGAGGCCATTTATATTGAAGATGAACATCGAACGTCCGCGAATGGACGCCCGAGATAAGCCAATGAATACATTCAAAGCATCAGAGACTGCTGATTCGATGCGAATGTTTTTTTTTATTACACGCGTAACTTTTTGATAATTTCAAGCATGGGCCTGGAAAATCAAAACTCTTGAATGTTCCAATAAGCATCCCATGATTAACTTTGTCAAATGTTTTTTGTTAATCTAAGCAGAGACAAGCCTGATAGTTTTTCCAATGTTATCATAGCCAGGGTATACTTCATGCAGGTATTCAATTAGATTTCTGACGGTAGATTTTTTTGGTCTTAAACCGTATTGAGAACTTGTGCTGGTCATTTTCGACGAGTTTATCATTTTGTTCATTTTTAACATTTCCAAAACTTTTGAAGTCACTTTAATTAGACTTATTGATTGGTAAACCGAAGTTATTTGTTTGTCTCTTGCTATGAAAATTGGGACAATTTCACTTACTTTCTACTATGATGGAAAGATGCTTTTTTAGCTATCGTATAGTTCTAAATACAAAGCTTTAAAGACAGAACAGAATTTCTTCAAAAGAAGATTTGCAATTTTATCATGTCCTTTTGCTCAATTAATATCCATAATTTTGAGTATTCTAGCAATATCTCTTATTTCAAAAAGAAAAATCGCTACTCTCCTCATTTTTGCAAGTTATCTGCAGGAATATGGGCGGTGTGGCTGAAAACCATTAAAAAAACTTGTTGAACATGAAAACAGGTTGAACATATTAGCTGTATCAGATTGGTTCTCTGAAAAACTTTTGAGGTGTTTTTTGGACAATTTCAAATTATCTTTGCGTTCTTAAGAACTTTCCGACGATAAACACAGCTTCTGTACTTAATGTCTGATTTTCGTTTGATATCATTATAAGTTGTTTTCGAGATTTTTAATTTGCTTACTCGATTTTCGGCATTAGTTTTCGTTCACAGTTTTAGTCTCCTTGATTCAACTACTTTGATGAGGTTTGTTATTCCTGAGATCAGCTAAGGTACTAACGAGCTTCTATGCTCTAATTCCTTAGCGTTTAGTGATTTTATTGAGTTACCAATTGTACTACAATTCGATCATGAGATTGTAACTGCTATGGCAGTATGAGTTAAACCAGTTTTCCATGATACATTTCGTGTGGTAAGAAAACTGATCGGTGGTGTGTACCGATTTCAATCAGTTGTCCGTTTTCACGAACGTAATATTTGGGTTGATCTCATTAATAAGTCTAGCTGAGGTTTTTCCTGCAATTTTGTTCAAAAATTAGTTGTAGTAGTAGTAGTAGTAGTAGTAGTAGTAGTAGTAGTAGTAGTAGTAGTTGTAGTAGTAGTAGTAGTAGTAGTAGTAGTAGTAGTAGTAGTAGTAGTAGTAGTAGTAGGATGGCTTCTGTGTTTCGACATGGGGTTCTGGCACCTTCATTGTATCGT